TTTTGTACGCTGCCATTCCGCAAACGCCTCACCTTATCAACAATTCATATTTCCAAATTATATCTATCCACTTTTGCACAGCAAAAACGATCTGTAACAATATTTGCATATTTCACAAAAACTTATGCATTCCTGTACCATTTCAATGGAGTTTTTAAGGGCTTCGGTCATTTACTCCAAATATACTGACTGACTGAATGCCCAACAGATGAGCACGTACTCTGTTCTCCTGTGTATTTATTGGTCTCCAACTCTTAAAGGAAATAAAAGTGCTTTGGGAACATGATTTGCACCATCTTTAGGAGATAAACTCTAGAAAGTATTGATGGTGACCCATACCAAACACTCGCATTTCCTCCTGGTTAGCCATGGGTTTTGGAACCCAAACATGTTAGAGATATCGCTGTACTTGAAACCGAATTCTGCTGTTTTGTCGATGATCTGGGACAAAGAGAACGCCGCCAAGTGCAAACATCTTAAACGCTGCTGGTTGTCTCACACCGCCTCTTACATCGTTCAAGAAGTCCGCGTGCTGACAATATTATCCGTCGAAACCCAGGAATAGACTTTCTAAACTGAGCTCCGTAACAGAAGGTTTGATGGCAAGAAGACAGAGAAGATGGACATCAACTTACGTTCAACAAGCAACTGGCAGCTTGTCTCGCATACACACTGGGCACAGCGGGCTTCGCACCTATAGATTCCAGCAAATCTGCGCGTAACTTTTGCAAGGCGAAGGGTACAAAGACCATCCTCCTGGCTGATTTCGATGCCCATTTTTTGTTGAATCTCCGGCGTAATGACTGTGTTGTACTGGTACCAAGTGATGTGCATGTTATCCTCTTGTGGTTGGCCGGTTGGACTGAAGGATTCAGTGACCCACGGTTGAATGCGGCAGCTCAGAACAGCAGCCGCACCAGCAAACACCTTGACGCGGGATAACTGTTCCACAAATTGAGGACAGGCAGAAACGGCGATTACTCCTTTGAGAAGAAGGAGGAGGATAAAATGTCAACACATACTGCGTGCAATAAAACTGTTCGGCGAAGAAATCAGGAATGGAAAGAACGTGAAAACATACTGCAGCAACTAGCCTGTAAGACATATTCAGGGTGGACGGTGAAGTTAAAGTTTGCGACTTCACCAAGTCGTAAATAAACCAGACTGCATGTCTCCGATTGGAGAGACTTATTTACCTACTGGACGTGAATGCTCGCTCGGGTGTCTAACAAATCAGCCCATAGGAAGTTCAGGACGCGCCTAAGCTCATGTTCGCATTTGTTATGCTTGTTTCAATAATAAAATGCCTGTCAGCTATTGATACAGGTATATGAATATATTACTGGAATATACTGTCGGCTGGCTTTAGTAAGTATAATTAATAGCATTAAGACTCTTAGCAGTGGCATACTGTCTCTAGCAGCAATATTCTAGTCTAAACTTAGTAAAAGGTGACACAGTTTTTGGTGGATACAGGTGAGAGGACGGAAACCAAGGGAAGCCTTGTTGTGCTCCGAGCTTCAAACAGAATAGCATAATCCGAGATGCACGGTTTTTGTTGAGATTGAGGGAATATGAGCCCAGCGCTGACTTTAATTAACGCCACTTCTGACTAATAATAGCGTCATCAATAGTGCCAGTACTACTATCACTCAGCTACACTGCTAGTTAGTAGTAGTAGAAATAGCATTAGCAGTAACAGCCTTGGTTTCCTTGAGTCTGCCTTGACACCGACTGAAGGTGAGTAATGGTAAATAGTGCGGTAGTACCAGCGCAAAAGGTTATTGTCACTTAAGATTAATTTAGGCAGTGTTATGGCCTGCATTGGATAAAGCGACCTATGCCCGATCTTGTTCTGTCATCTTGACTTTGTCTTGTCACCGG